ATATATTTAGGTCTGCTCGTATGTTCCCACAAACCGTCCTATCACCATGTCCAGCATTATTTTTAATCTTTTAATTTTAATAACATTTGGCCTACCCATAGATTTTAAAGTGTGTTGTCCTATTGATAATGCACATGTTATTGTTTATTGTTTTATTATTTTAAATTGCTTGTACTGTTATTGTTATTGCTTGTATTGTTGTATTTTGGGCTTAGCCTCATGTAAGCCGCACGGAGTCCCTTGGGGAGATGGTAGCGGGGTATAAATAAAGTGTTGTTGTTGTTGTTGTTGTTGTTGTAAAACTATATTCCCCATGGTTGTATAGTTTTAAGCCATGGCAGTGAAAGTGGTGCCAAAGTGCATTAATGCTACAGTGTAGATGCACTCAGAGTGGCAATGTGATTTCTGGTCACATGTGCCAAGGCCCTTCCCATTCTTCTCCAAACAAACATGGAGGAGTACGAGAGTAACATTAACTCATGTTCTCTGAGTTTCAGGTTCATTAAACTATCGTGATTGCTGTTTCCATTCTTTTCGGAGGGTTTTGCCATTTATTTACCGTTTACCAGCTCATACATATGGATGGCATGGTGTGCACTTCCTGGAGAACTGTACTTTCCAGCCTAATTGATTCTGGTAATTAATTTGTTCTACCTGCAGGATTAGCAGGGACGGCTGTCCATGTGCCCAAGGATTACCACTTGTCTTTCTAATATCTCTCCTAATTATCTAATTGCATGGGTTGCAAGAATTCTGGCTCTATTAAAACATTTTGACTATTAACAGCCCCTGACTGGAATTGTGATGACAACTCGATTTGGGCAAAACGAGAGCTTAAAACCGGGAGATGAAGGAGAAGTGCCTTCTTTTAATTTCCCCGAATTTAACATCAATAATTAGAGCAATTTTCCGAGATGCGAGCCGAAATTATCTCGGCTATGATGTGGTGTATCACCCTAATTTGAGCAAATTGACTCGGGGGAAATGAATGTTACAGATTAGGAGGGGGCTCCAAAAGAAATTACAAACAAGCAGAGAGGGAAAAACAGATTATATGAAAGGGTGAAACAGAAGATTAAAAGAGGAACGAGTGGAAAAATCCCGATGGGAAAAGGTTTGGAAAAAACAAGGAAGAGGTTAGGAAGACATTAAGGAAACATCGCACTTCACTGAACCAACCGGTGGGGAAATATTGATCCAAATCCTTCTTTGCCTGTATTTTTCATAACCTTTTCCACAACTACTTCAAAATATATATTGCTCACAAAATTGAATCTGAAATCCAAAATGCCTTTAGTCCCAAGCAAGGCAGTTTTGGTATTATTCCTTATCTGAAATGTTTGGGACTAGAAGTGTTTCAAAATTTGGATTTTGGAATACTTGTATTTACCTATACTTACATAATGGAGATGGGACCCAAATCTAACCCTGAGATTTTCTTTTGTTTTATCTATACCTTATTGCAGTGGTTCTCAACCTTCCTAATGCCCTGACCCCTTAATACAGTTCCTTATGTTGTGGTGACCTCCAACCATAAAATTATTTTTGTTGCTACTTCACAACTGTAATTTTGCTACTGATATGAATCGTAATGCAGATATCTGATATGCAGAATGTATTTTCATTCACTGGACCAAATTTGGCACAAATACCCAATACACCCAAATATGAATACTGATGAGGTTGGAGAGGGATTGATTATGTCATTTGGGAGTTGTAGTTGCTGGGATTTATACTTCACCTACAATCAAAGAGCATTCAGAACTCCATCAATGGAATTGAACCAAACTTGGCACAGAGAACTTCCCAAGACAAACAGAAAATACTGGAAGGGTTTGGTGGGAATTCACCTTGAGTTTTGGAGTTGTAGTTCACCTACATCCAGAGAGCACTGTGGATTCAAATAATGATGACTCTGGACCAAACTTGTCACAAATACTCAATATGCCCAAATGTGAACACTGGTGGAGTTTGGGGAAAATTGACCTTGACATTTGGGAGTCATAGTTGCTGGGATTTATAGTTTACCTACAATCAAAGAACATTCTGAACCCTAACAATAGAATTGGGCCAAACTTTCCACACAAAATCCTAATGACCAACAGAAATTATTTTTTCTGATGGTCTTTGGCAACCCCTATGACAACCCATGACCCTGCCCCCAGGGTCGCGACCCCCAGGTTGAGAAACGCTGCTTTATTGTGAAACCTAAAGATAGTTTTAAGCATATTATAGTTTTAAGCATATTAAAGGTATAGTATTTTTAATAATTGTGAAGCCTAAAGGTATACTAGTGACACTAAATTTGTGTCCATTGAACCATCCAAATGCAAAGTTGTCACCTATCTCAGCCACTTATATGGAGATTTTCAGGAGCAGAGCTGTACTACCATCAGTGATGTGCCACTGGGGCTAATACATAGACATAGACATAGACATAGACACACACATACACCTAACAGATATGTGGAGACTGAATCCATTTCAAAACCTGATTAGACTACCAACCACTTGAATAAATGGAACCGACACAAGGGTTGACATGCCACATTCTCATTTATTCAATGTGTCTGTTTGAAACTCAACAATTGCATCCAGGGTTAGGATTGATCTGCCATGTGCACTTGGGGTGCATCTCCACTGTAGATTTAATGCAGCTTGACACCACTTTAACTACCCTGACTCATGGTAAAGGGACTGAAGCTGAGAAATATTGGTTTTTCCAAAAAAAACCCCCACAGTGCTCTCTAGATGTAGGTGAACTACAACTCCAAAACTCAAGGTGAATTCCCACCAAACCCTTCCAGTATTTTCTCTTGGCCAAGGGAGTTCTTTGTGCCAAGTTTGGTTCAATTCCATCATTGGTGGAGTTCAGAATGCTCTTTGATTGTAGTTGAACTATAAATCCCAGCAACCACAACTCTCAAATGTCAATGTCTATTTCCCCCAAACTCCACCAGTGTTCACATTTGGGCATATTGAATATTAGTACCAAGCTTGGGCCAGATCCATCATTGCTTGAGTCCAAAGTGTTTTCTGGATTTAGGTGAACTACAACTCCAAAACTCAAGGTCAATGCCCACCAAACCCTTCCAGTATTTTCTGTTGTCCATGGGAATTCTGTGCGCTAAATCTGGCACAATTGAATCATTGGTGGAGTTCAGAATGCTCTTTGATAGTAGGTGACCTATAAATCCTAGGAACTATAACTCCCAACTCTCAAGATCTCTTTTCCCACAAATCCCACCAGTGTTCACATTTGGACATACTGAATATTAGTGCCGTTTGGTCCAGATCCATCATTGCTTGAGTCCACAGTGCTCTCTGGATGTAGGTGAACTACAACTCCAAAACTCAAGGTCAATGCCCACCAAACACTTCCAGTATTTTCTGTTAATCATGGGAATTCTATGCACCAAGTTTGTCTCAGTTCCATCGTTAATGGAGTTCAGAATGCTATTTGATTGTAGGCGAACTCTAACTCCCAACTCTCAAGGTCTATTTTCCCCAAACTCCACCAGTGTTCACATTTGGGCATATTGAGTATTATTGCCAAGTTTGGTCCAGATCCATCATGGCTTGAGTCCACAGTGCTCTCTGGATGTAGGTGAACTACAACTCCAAAACTCAAGGTCAATGCCCACCAAACACTTCCAGTATTTTCTGTTAATCATGGGAATTCTATGCACCAAGTTTGTCTCAATTCCATCGTTAGTGGAGTTAAGAATGCTATTTGATTGTAGGTGAACTATAAATCCTAGGAACTATAACTCCCAACTCTCAAGGTCTATTTTCCCCAAACTCCACCAGTGTTCACATTTGGGCATATTGAGTATTAGTGCCAAGTTGGGTCCAGATCCATCATTGCTTGAGTCCACAGTGCTCTCTGGGTGTAGGTGAACTACAACTCCAAAACTCAAGGTCAATGCCCACCAAACCGTGTTGATCATGGGAGTTCTGTGTGTCAAGTTTGGCCCGATTTCATCGTTGGTGGAGTTCAGAATGCTCTTTGATTGTAGGTGAACTATAAATCCCAGGAACTACAACTCCCAAATGACAACCCCTCCCCGCAATCCCACCAGTATTCAATCGTTGATGGAGTTCAGAATGCTCTTTTTGTAGTTGAACTATAAATCCCAGCAACTATAACTCCCAACTGTCCAGGTCTATTTTTCCCCAAACTCCACCAGTGTTCACATTTGGACATATTGAGTATTAGTGCCAAGTTGGGTCCAGATCCATCATTGCTTGAGTCCACAGTGCTCTCTGGATGTAAGTGAACTACAACTCCAAAACTCAAGGTCAATGCCCACCAAACCCTTCCAGTATTTTCTGTTGGCCATGGGAGTTCTGTGTGCCAAATCTGACCCAAATGGATCATTGGTGGAGTTCCGAATGTTCTTTGATTTTAGATGAACTATAAATCCCAGGAACTACAACTCCCAAATGACAAAAAAAAATCCCACCAGAATTCCATCGTTGGTGGAGTTCAGAAAGCTCTTGGATTGTAGGTGAATTATTAGGAAGGTAGAGAAGCACTGCCTTAGGGGGAGAAATATTAATGTAGTAAGTCAGTCAATCAATCAATCAATCAGTTAAACAATATATCTTTGGAATGTCCAGGGTGGGAGAAAAAAAATCCTTGCTGCAATTAGGAAGCTTGAATACACATTCTGACAACTTCTGGTGCCAACCATTTTGGGGGAAGAATGTTCAGCTTGTGTTGGCCAATAGGACCAGAATGGACTCTTCCTGAGTAGAGAGGGATTTCAGCACCTTGGTCAGCGCCTCCCTCCCTTCTGGCTTGCCTCCCTGTTGCCCCACCAAGCCAAGGCAGCTCTCCTCCTCCTTTCTCCTCCTCCTTTCTCCTCCTTCTTTGGTTGGCTGGAGAGAGAGAGAGATTGAAGAGGAGATCCCCCTTCGACCCACCTCCTCTCCAATCTAGTCTCCTTTTCCCCCCAAAGCCTTGCTCCAAGGAAGAAGGGAAGAGAAGGAGGAGAAGGAAGGCAGCCATGAACCTCAACTTCACCTCCCACTCGCTCTCTTCCCACCGGGGCCCGACCTCCTTCTTCATCGAGGACATCCTGCTTCACAAACCCAAACCTCTCCGGGAAATGGCTCCGGACCCTTTCCACGCCCGGGTCCCCCTCCTGGACTACGGATACCCCTTGATGCCCCCACCGGCCCTCTTGGCCCCTCACCCACACCATCCAAGTCTCCACAAACCCGACCACCACCACCATCACCACCACTCGCCTTATTTCCTCACCGCTTCGGGTAAGGATGGAAGAGCCGCCTTGCTGCTGTTGCTGTTGTTGCTGTTGTTGTTGTTGTTGTCTTGTGTGTGTTGTCCGCCACGTCCCAGACTTTGGAGCCCCCCAAAAGTATGGGAGATGGTTCAGAAATGGATAGGTTGAGGACTTTGCCATTGGGAGGCTTTGGAGGGAGGAAGGCAAGAGCCGCCTTCTCTTCTTCCTCTTCCTCTTCCTCTTCTTCCTCTTCTTCTTCTTCTTCTTCTTCTTCTTCTCTTCTTCTTCTTCTTCTTCTTCTTCTTCTTCTTCTTCTTCTTCTTGTCTTATGTGTGTGGTCCCCCACGACCCAGACTTTGGAGACCCCCAAAAGTATGGGAGATGGTTTAGGAATGGATGGGTTGAGGACATTGCCATTGGGTTGAGGATGGGTTGACATTGTCATTGGGTTGAGGATGGGTTGAGGACATTGCCATTGGGAGGCTTTAGAGGGAGGAAGGCAAGAGCCGCCTTCTTCTTTTTCTTCTTCTTTTTCTTCTTCTTGTTGTCTTGTGTGTGTTGTCCCCCACGTCCCAGACTGTGGAGACCCCCAAAAGTATGGGGAATGGTTTAGAAATGGATAGGTTGAGGACTTTGCCATTGGGAGGCTTTGGAGGGAGGAAGGCAAGAGCCGCCTTCTCTTCTTCCTCTTCTTCCTCTTCTTCTTCTTCTTCTTCTTGTTGTTGTCTTATGTGTGTGGTCCCCCACGACCCAGACTTTGGAGACCCCCCAAAAGTATGGGAGATGGTTTAGGAATGGATGGGTTGAGGACATTGCCATTGGGAGGCTTTAGAGGGAGGAAGGCAAGAGCCGCCTTCTCCTCTTCTTCTTCTTCCTCTTCCTCCTCCTCTTCTTCTTCTTCTTCTTGTCTTGTGTGTGTTGCCCCCCACGTCCCACACCTTGGAGCCCCCCAAAAGTATGGGAGATGGTTTAGAAATAGATGGGTTGAGTACTTTGCCATTGGGAGGCTTTGGAGAGAGGAAGGCAAGAGCCGCCTTCTGTTGTTGTTGTTGTTGTTGTTGTTGTTGTTGTCTTGTGAGTGTTGTCCCCACGTCCCACACCTTGGAGCCCCCCCAAAAGTATGGGAGATGGTTTAGAAATAGATGGGTTGAGTACTTTGCCATTGGGAGGCTTTGGAGAGAGGAAGGCAAGAGCCGCCTTCTGTTGTTGTTGTAGTTGTTGTTGTCTTGTGAGTGTTGTCCGCCACGTCCCACACCTTGGAGCCCCCCCAAAAGTATAGGAGATGGTTTAGAAATGGATGGGTTGAGGACTTTGCCATTGGGAGGCTTTGAAGAGAGGAAGGCAAGAGCCAAATCTCATCTTCTGAGCCAGAAGTCCAACTTGAAAGGCACCCCAACTTTGGATGCGTTTGGTGCCCCCCAAAAAGTGTCCCTGGTGCTTCCTTTTGGGTTGTGGAGTGGGCAGGAAACCCCCCGAACGAAAAACATACCCCAAAAGCCGCTTTTCCGTGCCTTTTCTCTTTTGTTTTGGGTTTTTGCAAGGCGACAAAACAAACAAAGCGCAACCAAAGCTTTGGGAAAAATTACATCTAGGGAATTAGAAACCAAGGAAAAGATGGGAAAAAAGTATTTTCCTGACGTGTTGTCGAAGGCTTTCATGGCCGGAATCACTGGGTTGTTGTGAGTTTTCCAAACTGTTTGGCGATGTTCCGGAAGCATTCTCTCCTGACGTTTCGCCCGCATCTATGGCAGGCATCCTCAGAGGTTGTGAGGTCGCTTGCCTAGTTTCCAACAGACCTCTCAACCTCTGAGGAGACCTGCTTGGAACATGGCCATACAGCCCGAAAAACTCACCGCAATCCTGTGTGTATCTTGTTCCATGAATTTATTCTCTTGAGTCACAATGGGAGGCGTATAAAATAATAATAATAATAATAATAATAATAATAATAATAATAATAATAAGCATTATTATACTGACACAAAAACACAGTATGTCACAGCAAATGAAATCTATATTATTATTATTATTATTATTATTATTATTATTATTATTAGCATTATTATACTGGCACAAAAACACAGTATGTCACAGCAAATCAGATCTATATTATTATTATTATTATTATTATTAGCATTAGCATTAGCATTAGCATTATTATACTGACACAAAAACACAGCATGTCACAGCAAATGAAATCTATATTATTATTATTATATTATTATTATTATTAGCATTAGCATTATTATACTGGCACAAAAACACAGCATGTCACAGCAAATCAGATCTATATTATTATTATTATTATTATTATTAGCATTAGCATTAGCATTATTATACTGACACAAAAACACAGTATGTCACAGCAAATCAGATCTATATTATTATTATTATTAGCATTAGCATTATTATTATTAGCATTATTATACTGACACAAAAACACAGCATGTCACAGCAAATCAGATTATTATTATTATTATTATTATTATTATTATTATTATTAGTGACATGAGTGGATCTACATTGTGAATTTTCCAAACTGTCTGGCCATGCTCCAGAAACATTCTCTCCTGACTTTTTGCCCACATCTACGGCAAGCACCCTCAGAAGTTGTGAGTATATTGGAAACTAAGCAAGGCAGGATATATATATATATATATATATATATATATATATATATATATTTGTGGAATGATGTCCAAGGTGGGAGAAAGAACTCTTTTCTGTTGGAGGCAAGTGTGAATGTTGCAATTGGCCACCTTAATTAGCATTGAATAGCCTTGCAGCTTCAAAGCCTGGCTGCTTCCTGCCTGGGGGAATCCTTTGTTGGGAGGTGTTAGCTGGCCCTGGTGGTCTCATGTCCGCAATTCCCTGTTTTCAGAATGTTGTTCTTGATTTACTGTCCTCATTTTAGATTTCAATAGAAAGGAGGAAACCATGAACATGAACAAATTCTGTCGACCAGTATTTTAAAAAGCTCTAAAATCAGAAAAGTAAATAAAGAACAACACTCAGAAAAACAGGGGAATTCCAGACAGGAAATAATCAAGGCCAGTGTATTGTCGAAGAGGTTTTGATGGCCGAGTTGTTGTGATTGTGAGTTTTCCAGGCTGTATGGCCATGTTCCAGAAGCATTCTCTCCTGACATTTCGCCTGCATCTATCAGGTCCAGTTGACACCTCCCCAACAAATGATTCCTCCAGCCAGGAAGCAGCCAGGCTTTGATGCTGCAAGGCCATTCAATTCTAATCAAGGCGATCAATTGCAACATTCAAAGAGAAAAGAGTTCTTTCTCCCACCCAAACTTGCCTAGTTTCCAACAGACCTCACAACCTCGGAGGATGCCTGCCCTAAATGGGGGCGAAACGTCGGGAGAGAATGCTTCTGGAACATGGCCAGACAAACGCATTATTTCTATTTTACCCCCGCATCCTGAAGCAGCTCTGGGAAATTGCGCCTTGACGCAACCAAACTAAAGGACTCCTTCCTCTTTTTTTGGAGTTTCCTTCGAAAGCCATAGACTCTTTTCCAAATAATCCCAAACGGGCACACTCCCACAAGAGCGGGATCGATGCGGTTTAACTTCCTGCTCCAGCGTGGAACGAATTGGTTTCAGAGAGTCCTGGGTGGAAGGGATTGGGAGGCACTTTCTCGCGCGCAAAGGCGCATTCCCAACGCCTCTTCCACCCTTTCCCAAACTGTCAAGAAACGTGCCCATCCTTTGCCTTTCGCTCTCTATCTCGTCACACATTGGTTTTGTCCGTTTTGAACCGAATTAATTCGAGAATAGGAAATGGATATGATGGGGAATTCGTGGCAAGCGAAGAAGGAATCAGTCCGGAAAGAAGAAGAAGAAGAGAGTCGATTCGTTTGATTTCTTATCCTATTCCTGAAAAAAAGATCCAAGATTTTACTTTTAGCAATTATTGTCTGTCTGTCTATCTGTCTGTCTATTTTTCTAACTCTCTATCTATTTTTCTATCTATCTATCTATCTATCTATCTATCTATCTATCTATCTATCTATCTTTCTTTCTTTCTTTCTTTCTTTCTTTCTTTCTTTCTCTCTCTCTCTCTTTCTTTCTTTCTTTCTTTCTTTCTTTCTCTTTCTTTCTTTCTTCTCTCTGTCTTTTTCTTCTGTCTGTCTGTCTCTCTATTTTTCTATCTTTCTATCTGTCTTTCTTTCTTTCTATTTATTTATCTCTCTCTCTATCTTTCTTTCTATCTCTCTCTCACACACACACTCTCTCTCTCCCACTCTATCTTTCTATCTATCTTTCTATCTCTCATTCTCTTGCTATCTATCTTTCTATTTTTCTTTCTATCTCTCTCCTTTCCTTCTCTCTCTCTCTATCTGTCTTTCACTATCTTTCTATCTCTCTCTATCTATCTTTCTATCTATCTGTCGTTCTTTGTATTTATCTATCTCTCTATCTTTCTTTCTCTATCGTTCTTTCTCTTTCTCACTCTCTCTATCTGTCTATATATCTATCTCTCTCTCTCACACACACACACACACACTCTCTGTCTATCTATCTATCTGTCTATCTATCTGTCTATCTATCTATCTATCTATCTATCTATCTATCTATCTATCTCACACTCTCTCTATCTGTCTTTCTATCTATCTATTTATCTATCTATCTCTCACTCTCTTGCTATCTATCTTTCTATCTATCTTTCTCTCTCTCTCTCTTTCTGTCTTTCTCTCTCTCTCTCTTTCTGTCTTTCTCTCTATATATCTTTCTATTTCTCTCTCACTCTCTCTTTCTATCTGTCGTTTTTTCTTTGTATTTATCTATCTCTCTATTTTCTCTCTTCCTTCTCTCCTTCCTCTTTTCTCTCTTTCCCTCTATCTCTTCTTTCTTTCTTTTCTTCTTCTTTCTTTCTTTCTTTCTTCTTTCTTTCTTTCTTTCTTTCTTTCTATCTATCTCTCTCACTCTATCGATCGATCTCTATCTCTATCTCTATCTATCTATCTTTCTTTCTATCTCTCTCTCACTCTCTGCGAAATTCTAGGAGAGAAACCTGTAAACAGTAGCGCAACTTCTGAGGATGCCTGCCGTAGATGCAGGCGAAACGTCAGGAGAGAATGCTTCTGGGACATGGCCAGACAGCCCGGAAAACTTACAACTATCCAGTGATTCCGGCCACGAAAGCCCTCGACAACACATAGTAGCGCAATAATTAAAAACAGGGTGCCGATTTCTAGAGGGATTGATGCTGATGCTGTTGTTGTGCGTTCAAATCTGATTTCTGGCGACCCGAAAAGGATTGTTTTGGAGGGCAATGATTGTTTGCCTTTGCCTGTCTCTGAGGCTGAGAGAGTGTGACTCGCCAAAGAGTTTCATGGCCAACTTTCCCCCTCAGAGTGATATTATATGGATATTATTACACCCACACTCAAACCATTACACCGCATATAATAATTGAGGCACGGTTGCTGTGAGTTTTCCGGGCTGTATGGCCATCTTCCAGAAGCATTCTCTCCTGACGTTTCGCCCACATCTATGGCAGGCAACCTCAGAGGTTGTGAGCTCTGTTGGAAACTAGGCAAGTCGGGTTTATAAGGTGTATAAGTTCCCAACAGACCTCACAACCCCCGAGGATGCCTGCCATAGATGTGGGCGAAATGTCAGGAGAGAATGCTTCTGGAACATGGTCTAACAAGGGAAAGGGTTGCCAACTTTCCAGTTTTCCTCGGAGAGCGCTTGATTTCTGAGCAAAGTCCAGTCGGATTCGGCTAGAAAAGAATATGAGGAAATAATCCGAAATAATACTAATACTAATACTAATACCAACAACAACAACAACAACAACAACAACAACAACAACAACATCTACAAGGAAACTGCTCTGTAAGAGATACTCAGTCTCCATGTAATGGGGTGGAGGTGCATTAAACTGTAATTCGGCGCAAGTAAACTGCGGTGGTCTACACCAAGTATATAATGCGGTGTAGATCCAACTGAAGGCAATCGCATTCATTTTGCTCCCTTTTAGGGATTTTTTTAAAAAAGGAATATTTCTCCATGAAACAGTCGAGACTATAGGAACATATGTGTGCATGTGTTTGTATGTGTATGTGTATATATAATAAATAATATAATAGTGTGTGTGTGTGTTATATGATGTATACACACATACACATGCATGTATGTGTCTGGTTCTGTGTGTGTATGTATATATATATATATATATGCACACATACACATAATATATATGTATGTATATATGTGTGTGTGTATATATATATATATATATATGATACACACACATGTATGCATGTGTCTGTGTATATAATATATATTGCACATATATAATATTATATATATATATATATGATATACACACACATCCACATGTATGTATATGGATGTGTCTGTGTATATAATATATATTGCACAGATATATAATATTGTATTATATATATGATATATACACACTTCTATATGTATGTATATGTGTGCATATATCATATATCAAATATATTGTAATATATTAGATATATGATATATGCACACATACACATGTATATTATATGACATATATGATATATACACATATGTATGTGTATGTGTCTGTACATATATAATAAAATATAATATTCTGTACATATAATATAATAAAATATAATATTATATATATGATATATATATACACACATACACATATGTATGTGTATGTGTCTGTGAATATATATATATATATATGTATATATCATACATTATATGTATATATCATTATATATAATATGATGTATACACACATATACATATGTATGTGTATTTTTCTGTGCATATAATATAATGGAATATAATATTCACACACATACATAATACACACACATACATGTATATGTGTATGCTGAAAATGTAACTTCCCTAGAACCAAAGCGACCAGGAGTGATAGGGAATGGGCGCTGGGAGATTTCCTTCTGCTTCTTCTGAAGCACCCAGGGGTTGTTGATGTAGTTTTTCAGCCCGAAAAGCAGGGAGGAAGGCATCAAAGAGAAAGGCTGCGGGTTCGGATGGGTTTACAGGGGAGTAAACCGGACTCGACACGGATCTATTGCAAGGAAATAGGCAGAGAGGGATTTGGAGATGGAAAAGAGGCGGAAGAGGCAGCTCGCTTTTGCAAGGCTTATTTATGAGGAAATAACCTTAGATAATATAATACATTACATTATATTATATTTAACGGCGCTCCATGCTGTCATGCCGACCACATGACCTTGGAGGTGTCTACGGAC